TCAAAGTTGGATAAAGGTGTATTGAATGTATATGAGTCTAAAATATTCAGAGTGTGTAGAGAGATGATGACCACACCTCACCCCTTTATATAGAGATGTTACCATGTTGCTCAATATCTTCTTGATCTTGGTGCCCGAGTGCCCAAACGCCCAATCATAGTGCCTGGGTGCTCGGACTTTTCAATTCTATTACACCTGTATCCTTACTCACGTGTCCTTCTTATCTTATTAAATTCGGCTTATCCATTTATCTCACTTGTTCACATTAGTCTATATCATTAGGTAATCATTCTAGGCATTACCAAGCAATTAGCTTGGCTTTATCTATGCTTTAATTGTTCTGCTTTCCACTAAGCATGCTTGATCTTCAGATCTTCCACGGACCTCTTCACTTGAGTTTCCGTCAAACTATCCTGGAGGTCTAACTCGGCCTGTTGCTGATCGGTTTGCCTATGAGGCCTTGATCGACCTGATACTCTCTCGACCATGAGTCTTCGTGTTGATCGACCTATGGCCGATCTGTTGATCGAGCTGCTCTCAAGTCGCTCAAGGTTTAGTGGTTGGTACAGTATACTATATCAGCTACATAGATTGATAGGTCAACTGAATGGCTTGAAACACAAAACATAATCCTGTAGGTTCCTTTTTGTATATTAAATTATCACAATTATTGCATGAGATGGCATAATTGTTAGGTTCGTCAATTCGCTATAAAAAGTATTTATATTATCAAACGGAATATGCATTTAATAAAAATGCCTTATCGCTTAATTTTTTATATTGTGAAATGAATTTGCAATATAAATGGCCTATTTGTAACGCTGTCATCTATATATGCATAATTGCTGACACATTATTTAATAGAACATATTTAATAAAAATTCTATTATTTTCCTCCCAAAAACCGTTGTAATGTAATTTATTATTATTATTATTATTATTATTATTATTATTATTATATATATATATATAATTACTAACAAAAACTTTAATAAAGCTATTTGTTGTTTCCTGCCTTTTTCTGTAAAAAACCATTATTATTATTATTATTATTATTATTATTATTATTATTATTATTATTATTATTATTATTATTATTATTATTAATCCCCCATATCCCATTAATGTCACGCCCGCTCTTCTTTTGCTAAATATTCTCATATTTTGAAACATGAGTCATGTTTTTCTCAAAATAAACTTTTTAAAATCCAGATTTATTTGTCAAAACGACGCAGATAATATTATTTATACATATCAAAAGAGTGTCAAAACAATGTCGATAATGTCATTTGTACATGTCAAAAGGACCCAGAAACAAAAACAGTTTGCATGGTTTTACATATATTAAAATTCTCAAAATGAACCCAAACTACTAAAAAGGACGGATGCTCTTTACTAGCCCAACAGGTCGTCATCCATGTACACGTCCTCAAAACTTTCTGGATCCAACAGCACGGTCAAGTCTTAACATTGATCATCAGATATCGACATGCTCACCTCCAATGCATAAACTACATGAGCTATAGCTCAATAAGTAAAAGTCATGCATGTCAAGAAATAACATCGTTAGCTGATATGCGTTACAACATGAAATGCAAATGCTTATATATGATTCATGTTGTGAACATTTCTTTCTGAAAACTTTTCTTTCTTGGGCCCTTTGACCTTACTGCTAGGCACCGGAAATGAGCTCATTATCATTAATAATCATAACATTCCAGTCCTGGTCGTCTCCCACGCCTTAAAGCAATGGCTCACGGGGCACTGGAATGGCTCAGTACTTACGTCTCACACGCCCTTATGCAATGTCTCACGGGGCACTGAGCATAACATAATAATAAGTCAAGTTCTTACGTCTCACACGCCCTTATGCAATGTCTCACGAGGCACTTGACCTCGGTGCGTAGCAGCGGCCAATTAATAATAAAAGTACTTTTTCTTTCCTCATTATGTCGTGCATGCGAGATATTCTTATCTGATCATGACATATGCATGCACATGCTCATGAAATATATCTATGCCCAATAATGACAAATATCACATATCCATTAACAATATAAATATATATTAACATTAATTTCATATACAAATATGAATTAACATCATAAATGCATATTAATATTAATTTCACATACAAATATCAATTAGCGACATAAATACACATTAATAATATTCACATAAAAATCACTATTCACATAGGCACATAATCGAATATACAATACTCAATTTATGCATAATCGAATATACAATACTCAATTTATGCATTGTAGTTGAAGATAAACTTTTACTTACTTAGATCCTTAATTTGACCTTATAAGAAAATGATTGAAAACTTTACTCCACGTAATATTCCGAAACTTTTAAACTTAAAGTTTCCTAATTAAAACAATCCTTATTATTAGTATTATTACTATTATTATTATAACAGTTATTCGCATATCAACTTACTAGATTGCGGATGTATATTTATACTAACATAAAGTGGTTCCCTTGAAATTGGAATTCGATGTGAGACGAGTGACTTCACAATTTTAGTCAAAATTTTTCTTTTTATAAAAGCTTAAGGATAGTTACCATTGTAAGGAATCTGATGTGGGATATAAAAGTTAGACAACTATTGCGGCCCTTTGTTGTTAATCCATGGCGTGAGTATAAGAAAAGTTGCATGTATGCATTTATTTAATTTGCATCAAACTAATACTAATTGTAAATAGATATGTAATATGCTATCTCTCTTCTTACATATAAGTAAAAGCATGAGAATCTCTGTGCTTGACACGTGGCGATTTTTTTATGCCCAAAATATCTATGCTTTTGCCCTATATTTACAGCTCTTGCCCTGCATTCAATTATTTTTGTTTTCTCCATTTTTTGGGCCGAATTGCTTTTTCCATAAATCCCGCAGGTCAAAGATAGAATTTCTGCAATGATGTGAATGCCGTAAATCGTGGTTGAGGACAGAAACCATTACACGCAAAATCTCTTTTCCCCCCAACTTTCCCGTTTCTCAAACCTCGCAGTCTCTTATATTCATTCTCCTTCACCTCGCACCTGCCGACATCTCGAAGAAGAAATTATCTGGCCTCAAATCTCCAAGTCACACACTAAAATCTCACTGTTTTTTGTTGAAAAAAATCTCGCCCGTCGTACGTTGCAAGATACCCCCCTTTCGATCGTCGAAATTTCCGATCATCGGACGGGGAAAGGGGCTAAAATCGTTGTTGAAGCATAAAGATTCTACCTGTTTTGCTTAATGTTGTTGTGTTGGTGTCTTTACAAGATCGCAGCCGGATGGAGTTGTACGGGGAACAACAGGAGGCGAATGGGGTCAGGAAACGGGTCTGGAAGGTGGGTTTCGTGTTTGATTTCTGGGTTATTTTTGTGGCGTTTGAGGTTTCGTGGTTTCGTGGTGTGTTCTGCATTTTGAATTTTTTACATAGGGTTTTTTGGTTTTGCTTCTGTTTGTGGTGTAGAATCGATGCGGAGGTTCTGTGGAGCAGAGAAATGTACCCGGAAAGGCCGAATCGTGTGGGTACGACGTCATGTGCCGGTAATCACCCTCTTGATCGCAGCATCTATGTAAGACCTCTGGCGGATATTTTTTTTTCTTTTTTTTGGCATATGCGGTGCAATAATTTGGTGTTCTTTGAATTGTCTGAGGTCCTGTTTTTGTTTTCTTACACATTTTAAGTAGCGTTATGCAGTGTGGTAATCACTCTTATTGCAACTGATATTTTCTACTATGTCATTGTTTAGTTTTGTTTTTAGGGTAATTGTAAATTGAGCCTGTGTTCACGTGATTCACACTTTGATTTACCTTTCTTTCTTTAAACCATGGACCATGGAACTAAATGTAAGAACTTGTGGTGCAGGTATCTCATTTTGTTGGTTGGTTTGTTCAAGCATTTGATTTAATGTAAGATCTAAATATTTGAACATTGATTACTCTTTTTTTTCCCTCATTACCTTTGTAAGAGGAGAAGATTGCCCTGGAAAGAGAACAAGCAAGAGTCACAGTTTCTGCAAATAGGTTAAAAACCATTGGGCCTGACGAGTGGAAGGATGATAAGGACAGAGTTATGCCTGTCAAGCAATGGCTAGAAGAGAGAAAAATATTACTATTTTGCTATTGAGACCGTTTTACGGTTAACAATGTACTCACATAATGAACAATCCCCTTGAGAGAGGAGAGAAGATTCACAGAAATGTAATGCTCATCAATTGATGGTTATATGACGACATTGAGGTTTCGTTTTCTCATCTTTAGATAAATCGTCTCTTTTCTTTGATTTGGTACTGGTGATATTCCTGTTGTGAAATTTGTTTGCGCTCTGAGGATTTAGCTTATAATTATGAAAATTTCAGAATTTTAGTTGTTTTGGGTTGTTCTGATCGTGATTGTGTTCTTTCTGAGTATTTTAGATTTTATCATTAAATCCATGTGGTATGGATTAGGGTTTTTGTTATAACATTTTTGTGCTGATTATGATGATTAGCAAGATATGAAGTGGCAGTTGTATGGCGAAGGAGTTTCTTGACGATTGAGGTTCACTAAATTGCCAATGGAGTCTTTTTTTTTCACTTCATTTTTCAGATCATTTATTTTGTATTTGTTATTTATTTAGGTTATTATTTTAGATAATGTACGGCGTTGAACTTCAAAGGCGAAGACGATTAAGGCCTGATTTGAGTCATTGAGCTACTTGTGGATCTGGTTGACGACCTTGGTGCTCTTCCGCAGGCGGATGAACATGGTGGATTCTATGCGCCCATTAAACATCTTTCATCGATAATGTTCACGCTGCCAATTGATATTATTTGGTGAGGTAAGCCTGACTAAATTTTCATTTAGTATATAGTGCCTTATGATACTATTTGAGGGGAATGCTATAGGAACTGACCTGTGATACTGTTAGCTATAAAAATCTATTTTTGTTGATCATCAGATGTTGAGAACGTTAAAATAAAGAACTAGGTTGGATGTCAATATAAGATGAAAGATGAAATTGTGTGTTTCTGCGTTTTCATTTGGTTACGAAGAGGTGAAGGAGTCGCTCTCCAGGCTCAAGCTCAACACCATGAACGACAACTCCGACGACATTGCCAGTGCCCCTGTCGCTATCTTTTACAGATGGTCTCCGCAGCTGGAATTGCTCGATGCATTCTTGAGCGAGAAGCAAATATGGGTACGAATATGACTGATTTTGATTGTGGAATTTTGATTTAGATGCGTTTTTCTTCCATTCTTTGGGGTGAATATTGACTGATAATGTTTGGTGTGGATTTCTGTTTAGGTGGATTACATTGCTCTTCCAGTGGCTCAACAACAACAACAACATCAACAACATAACTTTTAGTCCCAAGCAAGTCGGGGTAGGCTAGAGATGAAACCCAAGGGAAACACAAAAAAGACTCGAACCAAAAGGAAGAGATCGAAAAAAAAATAAAATAAAATAAAATAAACGGAAGAGAGAGAGAGAGAGAGAGAGAGAGAGAGAGGAGCAAAAGTCACGGTTCTGGCACGTCGATAGCGAGCCTCCAAGCGCTCCTATCCACCGCTAAATCCTTGGATATATTCCAATCTTTAAGGTCTCTCTTAACCGACTCTTCCCAAGTGAGTTTAGGCCGACCTCTACCTCTCTTAACATCCTCGACCCGCTGTAGAACTCCCCTACGCACCGGTGCATCAGGAGGCCTCCGTTGGACATGTCCGAACCACCTCAGCCGATGTTGAACCAATTTCTCCTCAATTGGAGCCACCCCGACCCTATCTCGAATATCCTCATTTCGAATTCTATCCCTTCTTGTGTGCCCGCAGAACCAACGCAACATACGCATCTCTGCTACACTTAGTTGTTGGACATGTTGCCTTTTTGTAGGCCAACATTCAGCACCGTATAGCATCGCCGGGCGAATCGCCGTCCTATAAAACTTACCTTTTAGCCTTTGTGGCACCCTCTTATCACAGAGAACGCCCGACGCCTGACGCCATTTCAACCAACCAGCTGCAATTCTATGCCTAACATCAGCATCAATGCCGCCATCCTTTTGTAGCATCGATCCCAAATACCGGAAAGTCTCCTTCTTGGCCACCACTTGCCCGTCAAGGGTAACGTCACCATCATCATGTGAAGCCATGCTGAAAGCGCACGTCATGTACTCGGTCTTCGTCCTACTAAGTCTGAAGCCTTTCGACTCTAATGCATCCTTCCACAGCTCCAACTTCCTATTTACCCCTGCTCTACTCTCGTCAACTAGCACCACATCATCAGCAAAGAGCATACACCAAGGGATATCACCTTGTATGTCCCTTGTGACCTCATCCATCACCAAGGCAAATAGATAAGGGCTCAATGCTGACCCCTGGTATAGTCATATTTTAATTGGGAAGTCGCTGGTGTCGCCCCCACATGTTCGGACACACGTCATCGCATCCTTGTACATATCCTTGATGAGGGTAATGTACTTAGATGGGACTTTATGCTTTTCTAAGGCCCACCACATGACATTTTTCGGTACTCTGTCATAAGCCTTCTCAAGGTCGATAAAGACCATGTGCAAGTCCTTCTTTTGGTCCCTATATCTCTCCGTCAGCTGTCGAATTAGGAAAATCGCCTCCATGGTCGACCTTCCAGGCATGAACCCAAATTGGTTTTGGGTCACAGTCGTCACTCGTCGTAGGCGATGCTCGATAACCCTCTCCCAGAGCTTCATCGTATGACTCATCAACTTAATCCCACGGTAGGTACCACAGCTTTGAACATCTCCCTTGTTCTTGAAGATCGGTACTAAAGTACTTCTCCTCCATTCATCAGGCATCTTGTTTGACCGGAAAATAAGGTTAAAAAGTTTAGTTAGTCATGTTAACGCTCTGGCGCCCAAGCATCTCCACACCTCAATGGGGATACCATCAGGGCCCATTGCTCTACCTCCCTTCATCCTCTTCATAGCCTCTCCGATCTCTGCCTCCCGAATTCTTCTCACCACGCGTCTATTGGTATCCTCAAGTGAGTCATCCAATTGCAGGGTAGGACCCTCACTCTCCCCATTAAACAATTTGTCGAAGTACTCTCGCCATCTGTCCTTGATCTCCCCATCCTTCACCAGTGGCCGATCCGACCCATCCTTAATGCATTTGATTTGGTTGACGTCCCTTGTCTTCCTCTCCCGAATCTTAGTCATCCTATAAATGTCCTTCTCCCCCTCCTTCGTGCCTAGGCGCTGATAAAGGTCATCATATGCCTGACCCTTCGCTACACTCACGGCACGCTTTGCAGCCCTTCTCGCTATTTTATAGTTCTCAGTGTTGGTTGCACTCTTGTCAAGGTGGAGGCGCTTGAAACACTCCTTCTTCTCTTGAATAGCCCTTTGCACCTCGTCATTCCACCACCAAGAGTCCTTCGCTTCCTGCTTGCCTCCCCTACTCACACCAAGAACTTCTGCAGCCACCTTCCGTACACATGTTGCCATCTTTAGCCACATGTCATCTGCATCTTCTCCTTCTTCCCAAGGCCCCTCACCTAGCATCCTATCCCTAAACGTCTGTGCCGCTTCCCCTTTAAGCTTCCACCACTTCGTTCTCACGGACTTGGCACATTTGTTCCGGTGGACACGTGTTCGGAATCGAAAATCCGCCACCACCAGCTTATGCTGGGGGACAACACACTCCCCAGGTATCACCTTACAATCTACGCAAGCGCTTCTATCCTCCCTCCTTGCAAGGATAAAGTCGATCTGACTCGAGTGTCGTCCACTATGGAAGGTCACCAGGTGAGATTCCCTCTTCCTAAAGAGGGTGTTCGCTATCAACAAGTCGTAGGCCATCGCAAAGTCCAACACACCCTCCCCCTCTTCGTCCCTACTACCAAATCCAAACCCTCCGTGCACTCGCTCGAAACCTACCTTAGTCGCACCCACATGGCCGTTTAGGTCCCCTCCTACAAAGAGCTTCTCGCTGGCAGGCACCGTACTAACCAAGGCATCCAAGTCCTCCCAGAATTGCCTCTTTGTGCTCTCACTAAGACCTACCTGAGGGGCATAGGCACTGATCACATTCATGGTCAAATCTCCAACTACCAATCGGACTAGGATAATCCGGTCGCCTTGCCTTCTAACATCGACAACTCCATCCTTAAGGCTCCTATCGATCAAGATGCCTACACCATTCCTACTCGATGAAGCCCCAGTGAACCAAAGCTTGAAGCCAGTATCCTCCACCTCCTTCGCCTTCTGACCCTTCCATCTTGTCTCCTGGACGCATAGGATATTTACACGCCTCCTAGTAGCTGCATCGACTAGCTCACGTAGTTTACCCGTTAGGGACCCTACGTTCCAGCTACCTATACGGACCCTAGTTGGTTCGACTAGCTTCCTTGCCCTTCGCACCCGTCGAGAGAGATGCGAAGACCCTTGCTCATTTTCCACTACACCCGGGCGCCGATGTAGCGCGCCACTAAGGAAATGACGACCCGGTCCTTGCTCATTTAACACCATGCCCAAACCACGACATGGCGCGTCCCCAAGGGGGGGACGACCCGGCCCTTGCCCATTTGACACCATACCCGGGTTCCGGTATGGCGCGTCGCTAAGAGGGTTACGCCCCAACGAATTTCTCATGTGTTTCATCTCCATAGAACGGCTAGGTTTTACGTTGGCTCGCCAAGCCTATCACAACCCTCCTCCTTTACCAGGTCTTGGGACCTGCTATGTTGAGACAACATAGGCGGAGTTATTGCTCTTCCAGTGGCTAGGTGAGATTTTATTTCCAAATTTGTTTATTTTGCAAAAGTGGATAGTTCGTCTTACTCCAAGCAGTTGTGGGCTCGATTGCATTTGTAGTTGTCCTTGAAAGAGTTATAGGATCAAAGCATTCCATATTCATTAAGATGTAATAACTCCAACAATACTTCTTACATTAGAAAGGAAACTTACAAGAGAATTTATATGTCCAAGACAAACCCTAACTAAGTAACATTGTGCATGTGGTCCATACTCATTTAATGAGCTGAGAGAAACGGGTAGTGCATGCTTGTACTACATGCAGCAAAGCTGCTAGAGCTAACAGAAAAGTAGACAATGACATAACCTTCATTAACTTATACTAAGCATTATTAAGTTCTAACAGCCCCTCTCAATCTGAGCGAGGGAGAGGAAGAACTTTGAGTCTATTTCTCAGCCTTGTGAAAGATTGGAAAGGTAATGCTTTGGTAAGGATATCTGCTGTCTGATCAATGGAAGGAACGTGCCTGACTGAGAAGCAGCCTTGACTGACTTTGTCTTGAACAAAGTATAGATCTAGTTCAATATGCTTTGCCTTGGAGTGAAGAACAGGATTTGAAGACAAAGCTTCTGCTCCAATGTTGTCAGTCCAGATCACAGGAATGGTAGAGGAAGAAAGCTGAAGTTCCTTGAGAAGAAAAGTGAGCCACAACAAATCAGTGCTGCAATGAGCAAGACTCCTGAACTCAGCTTCAGTGCTTGACCTTGAAATGGATTGTTGTTTCTTAGAACACCAAGAAACAAGGTTATCACCAAGGTATATACAAAATCCAGTGACAGACTTCCTGTCATCAATATCTGTTGCCCAATCTGAGTCAGAATAGGCTATGATATTCGAGTTAACTGATTTTGAAATTGATAGACCAAAGGATAAAGTCCCAGCAAGATATCTGAGCAGCCTCTTAACTCCTTTCCAGTGAGTGTCTAAAGGAATTTGCATGAATTGGCTTAGCTTATTCACAGCAAAGCAAATTTCTGGTCTAGTAATAGTAATGTACTGCAAAGCTCCCAAAACACTTCTGTAAAGTGTGGCATCAACTTCATCTTCCCCTAAGTGTTTGGATAGCTGCTGTGAAGATGTCATAGGAGTGTCTGCCCCTTTTGCTTGCAACATATTGACTTTTCTTAGCAATTTTTTGATATAATGAGACTGACTGAGATGGAGGTGACCCTTTGAGTCTGTTGTGACCTCAATTCCTAAGAAATGATGGAGAGTAGTGATAAGCTCAGTGATTTCTTCATCATTGCTGCCAGTGACAATAATGTCATCAACATACACTAGAACAAGAAGATATGATGCACCTTTGATTCTATAGAAAAGAGAGTGATCAGCTTTTGAGCAAAGGAAACCTGTATCCATTAGCTTTTGCTTGAGTTTAGTATACCAAGCTCTAGGTGCCTGTTTCAAGCCATAGATAGCTTTATGGAGTTTGCACACAAGATTGCTTTTAGTATCTGTCTCAAACCCAGGAGGCTGCTGCATGTAGATATCTTGTTCTAGCTCTCCATGAAGGAAGGCATTGTTAACATCTAGCTGCCTGATTTTCCAACCAAAGGACACAGCTAATGAGAGTACAGTCCTGATGGTCACATGTTTCACTACAGGGCTAAATGTTTCCTCAAAGTCAATTCCTGCATTTTGTGTGTAGCCTTTGGCTACAAGCCTTGCTTTGTATCTAGCTAGGCTGCCATCAGAGTTCCTTTTAACTTTGTAAACCCATTTACATCCTATAATGGGTTTGCCATGTGGTGGAGATACTAGAGTCCAAGTGTTATTATTCAACAGTGAAGTGTACTCACTGTCCATTGCTGCTCTCCAATGTGTTGAGTCAAGGGCATCTTGAATAGTTAAAGGTTCTTGCTCATCACTAAGATTGTGAGCAAGAGCTTTTGGTTTAAATATCCCTCTCTTTGCCCTTGTAACCATTGGATGCTGATTTCTTGGTTGTTCAGGTTCAATTTGAAGATCTACAACTAGAGGTATAGTGGTATGACTGGAACCTGAGGTTGAGATTCTCCTTGAAGTGTAGGAGTGAGAGTCCCTGCTGTTAGGTGTAATAGCAGTGCTTCTTTGAGAAGGAGTAGACACAGTGTGTGTGAAATCTGGATCATGACCTGGTTTTAGAACTTCAACTAAGGGAGGACCCAAGACAGATTGAGGAATAGATGGAGTTTGATGATCACTTGCTTCTTTGTTCTTGTTTAAGAAGAGAAACTGACTTTCTTCAAAAATTACATGTCTGCTAATGAGGAGTTTCCCAGAAGAAAGAAGAACTTTGAACCCTTTATAGCCTTCTTCATATCCAATGAAGGTTCCAGGACATGACCTAAACTGCATCTTATTTCTGTTAAGATGTCTAATGTAAGGGTAGCATAAACACCCAAAGACTCTTAAGTTCTTGTAAGCAGGTTCAGTGTTAAAAAGAGCTTCATGAGGTGATTTTCCTTGAAGCACTTTAGTTGGCAGGATGTTGATGAGATGGACTGAGGTTTTAAAGGCATCAACCCAGTAATAGCTAGGCACTCCAGATTGAGCAAGAAGAGATAATGCAACTTCAACAATATGTCTATTTTTCCTTTCTACTAGACCATTCTGCTGAGGAGTGTAAGGACATGAGTGCCTATGAATTATACCATGTGATTTTAGAACATGAGTGAAGGGTTGAAATTCTCCTCCACCATCACTCTGAAGTGCTTTGATCTTAGCACTAAATTGATTTTCAACCATGTTCTTGAACTGTGTAAAGGCATTCAAGGCATCTGACTTGTTTTTGAGAAAATAGATCCAAGTATACCTAGAAAACTGATCAACAAAGCTTATGTAGTACTTGTGACCTGTGTATGAGTGTACTGGAGATGGCCCCCACAAGTCACAATGAACAAGTTCAAATGCACAAGAATAAGTAGATTGAGATTCTGGAAAAGGCAACTTGTGAATCTTAGATTTGCAGCATGCATCACATAAAGTAGGAGTCTCAGTATTGTTTAGCTCCTCATTACATTTAGTTAAAACTTGTTTTACCACATCTAAAGAGGGGTGACCAAGTCTTTGATGCCATACATTATAATTTGGCTTCTTGGAAAGCATAGAAACATAAGCAAAGGGTTTCACTTCCTTACAGAAATCTGCACTTGAACTTGTGATCTTCTGAGGCTTCTTGAAACAATTGAGATCATCAAACTGATATAGGCAATTCTTAATTCTCCCTTGGAGTAACACTTCCCCCGTAGCTTGATCCTTGACAAAACAAAACCGAGGGTGAAACTCAAAAAAGACAGAATTATCCAAAGCAAACTGAGAAACACTTATTAAATTCTTGGTTATGTTTGGAACAAGGAGAAGATTTTTCAGGAGAAAAACTGATGAAGTTGAGTCTGATTGTAGATAAGATGACCCAACATGTGTAATGGGCAGACCTGTTCCATTTCCCATGTGCATTTTGTTGTTGCCTTGATACTCAGAAACTGAATTCAGATTTCCCATTTCAAAGGTGACATGATTGGTGGCTCCTGAATCAGGATACCAAGCTCCATCAGAGACCACTGAGTTGGCATCTTGCTGTGCTATCATAGCTTGAAGGTTTTGGTTTCTGTTCCTTGAGAAGGTTCTCTGACTGTTTTGAGTAGAGGAATTTGGAACAAAGTTCAAGTCAGCTCTATAATAGCACTTATCTGCTGTATGGTTTGTGTAGTGGCAGATTTGACAAGCATTTCTTGTTTGTTGATGGAACCTTCCTCTGCCCCTACCTCTTCCTGATCTTCCTCCTCTAAAGTTCTGATTTCCTCTTCCTCCAGAAGAGTTGCTAGCAAAGTTTGAGTCCTTCTTAGAGGACTGAGAGGTAATATTAGCAGACAAGACTTGATTTTCCTCAATAGTTACACCACTTGCAGACTCTAGCCTTGATTCAAAGCTCAGTAGTAGTGCACAAACTTCATTGAGATTGAAGGAATCAGGTTTGGATGTGACTGTTACTACCACTGAATCATATTCTGACCCTAGCCCAGCAAGAAGATGCAAGATCTGATCTGGTTCTTTGATTTTCTGTCCTGTAGATGCTAAAGAGTCACAGCATAGCTTTATCTTGCTTATGTACTCTCTCATGGTAAGGTTCCCTTTCTTCATTGTGGAGAGTTGCAGTTTAAACTGCATTTGCCTTGCTAGAGATTGGCTGGAGTAGTTAACCTCCAAGGTTTTCCACATTTCATGGACAGATTCAACACCAACCAAGAGAACAAGAAGGCTCTCCGAAATGGATGACAACAGCCATGAGGCAAGTAGCTGATCTTGCCTCTGATAGGCAAGATATTCTGGATTTGTTTCCAGCTCTTCAGAATTTTCCTTTGTAACAAATTTCGAGGGAACTGAGAGAGTACCATACAGGTAGCCATCAAGTCCATAGCCTTTCACTGCAGCTAAAACCTGTTGTTTCCAGATTAAATAGTTGGTTTCAGAAAGCTTGGTGGTGATGATTTGAGATTGTGGCTGGATGACCTGCAGGTTTGAGCTTGAGTTGATTTGAAATGGGTTTGTGTGAGTGATAGTGAAAGGACTGGATGATGAAGAGTCTGCCATGGTGAAAAACCCAATACAGATCCAAAGGATAAAGTGTAGCTTGTGTTTTTCTTGTTTTGAAAACCGAGATTTAAACTAAAGACAGGTTTGGAGGATCATGGCTCTGATACCATGAAAGAGTTATAGGATCAAAGCATTCCATATTCATTAAGATGTAATAACTCCAACAATACTTCTTACATTAGAAAGGAAACTTACAAGAGAATTTATATGTCCAAGACAAACCCTAACTAAGTAACATTGTGCATGTGGTCCATACTCATTTAATGAGCTGAGAGAAACGGGTAGTGCATGCTTGTACTACATGCAGCAAAGCTGCTAGAGCTAACAGAAAAGTAGACAATGACATAACCTTCATTAACTTATACTAAGCATTATTAAGTTCTAACAGTCCTACTGGCAGTGATGGCGCTTGTGGTGTGCAATAAACGGAAGATGGATGTCAGGAGTTCAAAAACGGTTGAGGGAGCTTTAGTTGCGTTCAGTTACAAGCACGTGCAAGATGTTTTGTTCCTTTATATATTTTTGAGTTTTGTGTATCAGCTATTTTTTCTTTTACAGGAACCCTAAATCTTGACACTGACCATCGTAGTGTCAAGGATGACGCTCGGTTTTCATACCAACAAGAAAATATTGAAGGAGGTAGCCATCATCCATTAGAGCGCCTCAGATATAAGATCTTGTAGTTCTCGACCCTACCGATGAAGTGAATCCAAATGAACTCCGTCACGGGGAATACCAAGGATTCTTTGATTGCTACGAATTATAAGGCAAGGCGAGTGCAAATTATTACTTCCATTCTTACTTGCATTTCGGTAACCTTTATACGTTCTCGAACCAGATTGTGTTCTCAAAATGGATCTCACTTGGAAACCTTTTCATTCTATAGCTTATTCTTTGCTACTTTTGAGTCTCTAAGTTAGCAGCGGTTGTGTCATGACTAGAAAATTGGCGTCATCTCGAATGGTCGCTTTTATATTCTAATATAAAATCATCAGTACTGGTTAACATTTCTCAAGTAACTGCTGAAGATGAGATTGGCATTCACATATGGGACCTTAGAAAGTTGAGGTTTTCAGTTGCAGTCTTAATGGGTATTCCCATTGGTTTGAATTCTTTGATCCTGACCATTTAATGAGTGCAATGGTTATCTCATTTGGTTATGGTTTTCCTTTTATCATTTTTTTTTTCTATTTCTTTTATTTTTCCCCTTTTTTATTAATTTTATTTGTTTTGCTATTTTGGTTCCTTTAATCAGCAGCCCCTTCTTGATCTTCTTTTCTTTTCTGCACTTTTATTTTTTCTCTTATGTACTATTGTAATTATTTGGGGAGATTTCATTGTTTGTAGAAAAAGGTGACTTTGTACCTGTTCAACTGTTATAATCAGTTTACGTGTAGAATGTTGTATGTTTTCTAAATAAAACTTGGGATTATACTATTGTATTTTTCTAATGTACAAAAAGCTTCTATTACTTAACGTTGTTGAAGTTTCTGCAGACAAACAAACACTAGAGATGCAAGCTAACAACCTGAAAGACATCTCGAGCAAGTACGAGCACGACTGGGCGTCCTGAAAAGTGGCAATCAACTGCTTTGAGCAGAAAGTAGAAGTGATTAGCTATTTATCTGTCAATACAAGGGTCAAAAGCGAACCATAAGATGAAACATTATTAGCTTATTTAAGTTGCCATTGTTAGCTTAATTTGACTTGCAACTGCATGTTGGCTTACCATATATACTAAATGTGCTTCTATTGATGTTATGTCTATGCTCTCAATTCAATCAACATATACTTTTATGTTAACTATATGCTTCTTCATTTTTGGGTTTTAAAGCTGTTGGTTGGGCAAGCATTGATGAAATGCCTCCTATGCACAACCTTATATTTGTATTATGGATCACCTACAAACTGACTACTTACATGAATGCACTCTAGGCCATGAAGAACGAGCACAGATTAACCCGCTCAACTCCATAGACGACGTGTGGATCCGAAATTTCAGGTACAGGTGCGGCTATTTCTGCAGAGGACAAAAAAGATTCACTAGAAAAAGGTTATATTTGAAAAAGGCCCGACCACCAACTTGATGGTGCTATGATGGTTTTCGTTATCTATTTTGCTCGGACAATTAAATAGTTGTATGAAGCATGTCTGGTTTGTACAAATGTATTGTTCTGTAGGTTGCAATTATCCTTTTGCAGTAGTACTGTAAAATATTGGGCATCCATGTGTTGAGATGCTTGAGATATTATGATATTTATAGTGCGTGTGAATTATGGGTGTGGTATCCAACAAGGATGTTTTCTAACAGCCACAAAGTATGGCCTCTTTTGTATCTGTGCAATGGCTTCTTCAACTTTTGTCACTTATTTATGTTTGCTTGCATGTCATTCCATCTCTTTTCTTGGTGACAGATACATATAACAGTGCACTTAAATTCTCTTTGTCCTGACAGATACATATAACATTACACTTACATTTACTTTGCCAACATAAACTCAAAAGGTGCAGAGCAAAAATGAAATCACAAAAAAAACAAAAAATAAATAAAAGAAATAAAATCCAAAATCTATTCTTAAATAAAATTATTAAATGTTGTTAATATCAAAGGTTGCATTTTAGCTTAAAAAAATTAGTTTTGCTACTTACTTACCAGCCGCAACTAAGGTTGTAGGCAAATATAATGAATGTAAATACTAATCTCTTGATCTCTTAACTTTTAACTCAACTTCTTTAATGGTGAACCAAACACTTTATTTTTACGTTTCTGGTAAATATATGTATAAGATTAGATACATTTTTAGCTGCAATTTTTAGTGTCTAACAAAAAATCATAAATATTTCATAATTATCGACTAAACTTGGGCCAGGAACCCACTAGTATTTATATATAAACTAAGAACTCTTATCCATATATACAATATATAAACTAAGAACTCTTATCAATATATACATGAGTTTAACTAAAATACATATAGTGTGTGTATATATATTACACGTAAGTATATATATATATATATATAACCATATAGGATAACATGTATATGCAAAGTATAACTTTTGTTAATTAATTATAAATCCTAATTATTGTTAACCTTTGATAAGCAATTAGTTCATTTAGTACTTATAAAATAAAACCTAACAACACTCAACAATTTAGTAGCACTTAAAATTTAGTAAACTTTAGAGTTTGAACTATTTAATATTTTATGTGATCTCATTAGTTCTTACAACACATGTGAATTTACATATAAGTTGTACCCATAAATGCATAAAGTCTATAAACTTTATTAGTTAGTATGTAGTTTAGGGTTCGGGTATCACATCCTCCCCTCCTTATAAACATTTTGTCCTCAAAATTTTACTTACTTGAGGAGTTCTGGATATTTCGCTTTCATTTCATCTTCTCGCTCCGAGGTTGCTTCCTCAGTTGATTGATTTCTCCATAACACTTTTATCAACGGAATTTCTTTGTTCCGTAGTTGTTTCACTTCTCGTTGGAGTATCTCCATGGGTACTTCCTTGTAACTCAAAAGCCTTCAGTTCTTTCGGCTCGCTTCTTAAAACGTGTGATGGATTTGATATGTACTTCTTTAGAACTGAGACGTGAAAGACATCATATATTTGCGACATTGAGTTGGGCAACTCCAATCTATAAGCAACTTCACCATTTCTTTCGGTGATAGGAAATGGACCAATGTATCTATGATTAAGCTTTCCCTTCTTTCCAAATCTTATAACACCTTTCATTGGAGCTATTTTTATAAACACTTGGTCTCCTACAGAGAATTCCAACGGTCTTTTTCTCTTATCAGCACAAACTCATAGTGGCCATATCTGGTACAGAACGCGGTCTTAGAAATATCCGACTCTCGGATCTTCAACTGATGATAGCCAGACCTCAAATCGATCTTCGAAAAGACGCTAGCTCCCCTCAGCTTGTCGAAAAGATCCTCGATACAAGGAAGAGGGTACTTGTTCTTAACCGTAAGGTGGTTAAGCTCACGATAATCAATGCACATGTGCATGTGTAATGTCCCGTTTGACTATGGAATTTTTGAGGATTATTTATTATTATTATTATTATTATTATTATTATTTATATTTATGTGGCATTATTATTATTTATTGAATGCTATAAATTATTAATTGTTGTATGTGATTTAATTGTCAAATTGCTTAATTGTCTAAATATTGAATTAATTGCTTAATTGTCTAAGTGTTATTAATTAATTAAATTATGTATTTGTATTTTTACTAATATTATTATTATCTTAAAATTTTAATTATGTGTATTATAAATATAAATAATGCCCGGCTTAATTATTTTATTTGTGCGATTTGGTTGAGCCCGAGAGAACCGTATTTAAGTTACGTAGTCGTGCCCGAGGGCCGATTCGTTTTATTGAACCGAAAACCACGAGCCCAAACCGAACCGGCCCGCGTTTGTGTGTCTTATTGGGCAAGACATTAAACCTATATGTATAGGTATATATATGTATTTCTCCCCCACTTTCTCGCACACATCAGAAGAGAGACCGCAGCCATCGTTTTATCTCGCAAGCAAATCCCAAACCCTCGTCGTTAAATTCTCTCGTCATCGTCATCAACCCTTTTCCTTTCTCTCGCCAATAATCTAATCGGTCATCGTCACCACCATCATCTTCCCTCGTCATTCCCCTTTCCACTGCAAATTTTCGTCGCCATCTCCTCCACGCAAAAATCAGACCCGCAGGACCCTCCTTTTCGGCGAAGTTCAGCGGCCAATCCCCTCGCCGGCGAGTTCCTTTGTTCGCGAAGCCCTGCCCCGCCTTGACGACGCACAGTAGGCCCGCGATTTCCGGCGACCTTCCCTTTGCAGCAGCCCTGCGACTTCGGGCGACCAGTCACGATCTTTCTCCCGTCGCGTGAACCTGCTTCCGGCGACTCCCGACTGCCGCTGTAACCGTCGTTTCCGTCGATCTGTATGCGCCTCTCCACATAGGAGTGAGCTGGTTCGTTTAGGCCGGATGTTGTTAGTCGTCGTTTGAATGAAGTTTTTAAATCCATGTCTTAGGTCGAGCTTCTGCCTCCTTGGGTGTCTTCAGGTGTTGGTCCGCGCGAGGAGTTTCGGAGTGGTTTTTTACTGGTGGGGGAGAGTCTTATTTTAAGTATTAGGTTGTGTTTTTGTTAGTGGTTAGTATTTGTGTGTTATGTGTTTTTGTGTATTTGCTTTGAGTGTGTATTCTCTTTTTAGGAGTTGCATTCTCCACCAATGAGAGTATCACATTATCGTGGATGCGTTTATGGTAGTCTAGGCCACCGCGAGCAGCCACCCTTGAAGCCGCTGATCCTCCTCGATCCGTCGAGCTCGTTCGTCGCCGCTAGCCACCGCAAATCGAGCCCGTCAACCATACGTTCGTCCGTTTTTGTTCGATTCCCGAGAATGGTACAAAGGCTCGATCCCGTCTCGTTTAAATCGATTATATTATTTATGAACATGTGTGATTTGCGATTTGATATGCGAGATGTGTATATTGTGCGATTGTGTGCGATATGATATTTGGTGAAGGATATGATTTTATGTGTCGTTCTTGTGTTCAGAATCTCTTCGATTCTTAAAGAATCGAGCGAGACCTCGAAAGTCGTGTAAGTCAGTGGAAATTGGAACGATGTCGAGTCCTTGGTCTTTCGAGATGGTCTCGGATGAGAAATTTCGTGTTATGAGTTAATTGTTAAATTGTCGACCACATATGTCGCTGTTTGGGTGTTTGAATTTTAAAAAATCGCACAGAACTCGGAATGACTTGAAATTTTGAGGGATATGTTATCTGTTCATTTTAAGCCTTGTGTAAAAATTTCGTAATTTTTAGAGGCCTGTAGCTATTTTTAATAGTTAAAGAGAATTCTGATCAGAATATTGTTTAATGCTTAATAAATTGGTTTGTGATTCAAATGAGCTGAAATTTGAGTATATCATGTCTCTATGATATTTATATGCTGTGTAAAATTCTTAGAATTTTTGGACTTAATTTGATATGGTTAATAATTTATTTATTGAATCTGCTGAAAGTTGTTTGAATTTTTATAAATCGGTTGTTGGATGAAAAATTCTGAAATTTTGCTGAGATTTCTATTTTATGTGTAGAGTCATGCTGTTAAAAGGTGGGAATTTGTAGAGTCCATTGTGATAATTCGATAAACTGCTGAATCTCATATGAATTTTTAAAAATAGCAGCAGTTAATGTTAAGGGTTGAGATTTTTACTTGTTGATTCTATCATGTTGTATGTCGAGGTGTTAAATATTCAAGTCCTAATTCCTTCATTAGGTTTAAGTATAAATTCATAACTCGGTTTTGCTGATATATTGTGTGAATTTTATAAAATAGTGTACTTGGGATTTGAAGCTGAAAATTTGTGGTTTTGCTTAATTCTGGAAGGTGAAATTTTGATTAAAATTTCAGGGTTAAATTCGAATGATAACCAGACTAACTTATTTTGTGGTTTAAAACTAGTATTTTCGAATATACGTCTTTTTCAAACGGTAAATCGACTCGTTTTCCGTTTCTTTAAGTGTTTGACTTGGTAAATAT